AACTATAGAGCATCCTAGCTGCTCTAGAACTCAGGTATGGAACTCAAAATCAGTCCGAAGTCTACAGGACTAGGATTAGGACTAGAGTCTGTGCTAAAGGGGAGAGTTTGCAAGAGCTGGCACAGGACTTGGAAAGTATGGCACACACGGCATACCCAACTGTGCCACCCAATGTCCTCAAGCTGTTGCTGAGAGATCAGTTTATAGACGCCTTGGACAGTCCACAATTAAAGATACAAGTGAAGCAAGCACACCCCTCTATTATGCAGGATGCAATGGCCAGAGTTCTTGAAATCGAATCCTATGTTAAGTCCAGCAAAGAGGTACCATGGTTGGTACAGTCATCAGGATTCAAGGATAGAAAAGGGCAGCTGTCAGAGAAGTTTGAGGGACTTTGCTGGTACTGCAACAAACCTGGGCAAAAGAGAGCTCAATGCCTGAAACTTCAAGGAGGCCTGATGCTTGTGGAAGCAGTAGAAGACCCATCCAGGCCAGGAGACGTAAAGATTGGAAGGTCACTTGTGGCAGGTCATCAAGTAGTAGTCCTTTTTCTGGACTAACACAATGGGAGCTGACCAGAGACTATCTAATTTCTCGACTATCCCTTCTTTAATTAGGCCATCCATGACCTTCTTCATCTCTTGTTGCTTTGCTGGAGCTATTCTCCTCAGAGGGATCTTTATTGGATGGTGATTGCCTGTGTTTATTCTGTGCTCCACAAGGTCTGTGCCAGGGTCATGATCTCCTTTTCAAAAGACGTCTGCATAATTCGCCAAAAGTTTCCTTACCTGAAGAGCCCGTGATGATGACAAACAGACAATGCTCTTCTGATAGAGGTCAGTTAAATGTTCTGGGAGAGGATGTTCTTTCTTTATGGTTGTATTTCTTGCCTTAACATTGACTAGCTCTACCTCCTGGCACACACCCAACAATGCCCCTTCCTTAAGTGTCTGCTCACATTTAGAGAAATTAGCCACTGTTATGGGTAATACTTGATGACCTGCCACGAGTGACCTTCCAATCTTCACGTTTGCTGGCCTTGATGGGTCTTCAATGTCAGCCAAGTATACTTTGTGTCTGTTCTTCATGCCCATGAACTCAATAGTTACCCACACTGGTCCCCACAACCTTGCATAATGGCTTCTGGTACTTCTTTGTGATCCAGCACATTGATACTCACAAGGGTTTGCTGAGAATCTATGACAAAGTTGCACTTTTGGCCATCCAGCTTTCCTGTCACGTACACACTATGTGTGCTTGCCATTTTATACCTAGCTGTTGGGACTTTCACGATGGGGGTTTTTGGGCATCCCTCAACATGAACCACTGCTGGTTTCCCAGAGGCTGACTTGCTCTCCACAGTTCCAACAACCTTTCTGGGTAGCAGTCTTTCCTGCCATGGCATCTTCCCTGTGTTGAAGTTGATGGCATTGAGTTCTCTTGTGTCCAGGTTTGTTATAGTGCAAGCAAAGTCCCTCAAACTTCTCTAAAAGCTGCCCCTTTCTGCTCTTGAATCCTGATGACTGTACCAACCTTGGTATTTCTGTGCTGGACTTAACATAGGATTCGATTTTAAGAGCTCTGGCCATTGCATCCTGCATAATAGAGGGGTGTGCTTGCTTCACTTGTATCTTTAATTATGGACTGTCCAAGGCATCTACGAACTGATCCCTCAGCAACAGCTTGAGGACATTGAGTGGTACAGTTGGGTATGCATTGTGTGCCATACTTTCCAAATCCTGTGCCTGCTCTTGCAAACTCTCCTTTTTAGCACAGACTCTAGTCCTAATCCTAGTCCTGT